AAAAATACAGTTCAACTGCCTAAAGTGTCATTTCCAGGACTCCAGAAATCATCTAAAACTTCAAATACAGCATGTTTCATCGAGTTCTGTTACTAGCAAAGACAACTTTGTCTTACTCCTTCCAAATCTACTCCAGACTACTCATTTATTCTCATAAAACCAAGCAGTTTCAGTTTTACTAAATCAGATAGGGCACAGAAGTATTGCAGCAATTCTATTTTGTTTAAAGGACAGCTTGAGCAAAATATTGGCCATGATACTGCAGCCCAAATTTTCTCTGCTTATCTTGTTATGTCAGAGAGGGAAAAGATATAAAATAGTAGAAATCTATCCTAGTATCATATCATCATTAGGATCTAAACTATCAAGAGGGATTTCTTCATCCCATGGACCAATCTGCTGGAGGAGAGGTTTCTATGAGCCTTTTTGTAGCAGCAATGAGGGACACCAACTCCCCAGAGAAAGAAAAGGGAGACAAATCCAAAATTTGTCTTTCCAGATCTGATCAGCTGCCTAGCAGTTTTTTATATCTGGCTATATTAACATCATGGCAACACACAGACAGCTGAGAAGCAAAATTTCTCATTACAGTTGACTTCAAAGCATTTTTGTCAGTGAAATTACAGTCTTTGTGAAGTGCAAGGTGGTATGACATGCTGAATTAAGACTCTTAGTTAGCAATACTGGTATACTCTATGTCCTGGCCCTGCCTGCCTGCACAGTTGTCTTTCTTCCCAGTGTCATCTGCACCAGTGAAGCATTGCCACGGCCCCAGGGGAGGGGAAAGCACTTTGTGCTGTGCAAGAGGTTTACAGGGAGATGCCCTCTGGCTGGCCTGCCACTGACCCCATCCTCCTGGGAGCACAGCACACATTCCAGCTCAGTCTGCCAGGAGAGCCTCCCAGCCAGCCAAAGGGAGCTCAGGAAAAGCTGAAACAGCTCTTTAAATACTAAAGAGATGTTGCCTAACATGAAGCGGGGTGGGGATAAAATAAATCCGTTTAAAAAATGGATAAATGCACCTCCCTGCCCACCCCTCAAGCAGCCAGGTGTAAAGGAAACCAATCCGTCCGTGCTATGCTAGGCATAAAAAGTGTCTAGGAGGAAATAAAACAGGTGCACATTTAGTATTTTTAGCTTTACATCAAAACATGGCTCAATTAGTTTCTTTAAAATGTGATTGCTTGACAAAAACTCTGATTTTTCTACAAAATTTCTCTTTGACATCAATGGGTAATTGCAGGCTTGTTTACCTGCATTTGCATATTGCCCCTCCCAGCCCCAGCACAGCACACAATTCTCTTCAAGCTTGAAAATTAGGCTTTTCAGCAACCAACCCTTACACCAAAACACACAAACCCACCCATGCCTGCTGTTATTGCCATAGGAATCTGCATTTTTCAAAATATAAAATATTGAGCAACAGGCCATATTCAGCTTTATAATGGACAAAAACCACCTCAAAATAGCAGGAGCACAGCCTAGCCAGTTAACCAACAGTCTGTTTGTTTCCAGGATTGCGCTTGAGGAGAGCCAAGCTCCAGAACAGGAGAACATTACAATGAAGAAAATGAAAGAACTTTCACTTGTTGTCAGTAAATTCATAGCTAGCAATATATAGCATTTAGCTATTGCCATATGTAAAATACTGCATTAAATGTTTATTTATTTCTCTGTATATTGTGAGAAGAAGCACTCTGTGTGCCTTGAAAGAGTGCACAAGAAAACACAGTTAACAATCTCATTTTTAGAACTGAGTAAAAACTGGGAAAATACAGTCCCCATGAATTACTGCATCACTATCAGCCAGAAAAGCCAGGGGCAAAACCAGATGGAATTTGCTTAATTAGATCCAGTGAAGTATATACATATCTCTAAGCCAGCAAGAGAGCCCATGGACAGCAAACAAGTTAAAATAACCATGTTGAAAGAGAGCAGAAAGCTAAATATGGCCTGGATTTCAGTTTTTACAAATGATATCTCATAGGTTCAGGATTATCTGCAAGCTCAAGAATTTTGCACAATCAGTGCTTTGCCTCTTGTCAGAGTTGTCTAGTTGAAAGTTCTAGAAAACTCTCTTGAAGCTGATTAACACCCCATTTAATTCCTCCTCATTTCTCACTCACTTTTATAGAAAAAAAGTTTCCTTATAAAGGAATGAAGCAGCTATTGGCACTGCAGACTTTAGGAAACCACGGAGATGAAATTATAGATTTAGGAACATTTAAAAATCTGACTAAATTATGATTCAAAGTATTCCCGTGATGATTCAAAAACACTGGGCAAGGTAAAAACTACTTGCCACTAGGCAAAGCAGAAACAAAGGAAATTATCAAGTTGGGGATGGGATTTAGAGATATTTCCTATCTGCACAGCAAGACATTCCTTTCTCCATCTTTTCTTGAGATAAGACACCCATTTGTCAGATCATTACAGCAATGACTGATAAGATCTCTTCCAGTGCCTATTATTTAACATATTGTATATAAAAAACCAATTCTTGGCCAGAGGGAATCCCCAAATGTGGCAAGCCAGGATCCAGCTCAGCCAAGAGCCCAAGTGCCCTGGACTGTGCGGAAAGAGGCTCCAGAAATGAGTCAAGCACAGGGGCAGGGCCACAGGAGAGGCAAAGGGGACAGCAGCGAGCTCACAGGCCAGGTACAGCAGCTGACTCAGACAGGTGACAGAAATTATGCCTGACCTGCCATAAAATAATCATTGACTTCCAACATCCAGCCCAATCTAAAGACCACAATTTTACCTACGCAAAATGCTTCATCTTAATTGTCCAATAATGGGATGCAAAAACTAATTCTAGGGTAAAAGATTGATATGAGATGAGCAGCATAAATAAAGAGCTAAGTAATACCATGTATCTGCCATAGCTTAAGCCAAATTTAAAAGATTAATGTTTTCAGATATGTCTAAACCTTGGGTACCTTCTGAACCCAGAAATAAAAATGCTATTTTTTCCTAGAAGCCAAAAGTTTGAGCCCATAATAATATATTTAGATAACTTATGTTAGCAAGTGAGACCGAGGGGACATAGCCATGCTGAATTTTGACCCTTTTGAAGTTTGTAACTCTTTTGCTCTACAGAGTACTTTAATATTCATTGAACTATTTTCTGGTTTTGTGGCCTGAAGAACAAAGGGCTCCTATCTGATAAAGGCTGAATATCCCTGATCCAAATAATAAATCATGATAAAATTATGGTTGCACAAAGGACAACTTTGATTTTTTCTCTCCAGGTATTTGCTTAGTTACTTCAATTTTCTTAAAAAGGTGAACATGTCTTTCAAGAAAAAGTGAACAAACTAAGCCAGCCTTATGCTGCAGTAGCTATGACAACAGACTTTGAAATAAGTGTGGAAAAAGCTAGACCTGAATCTTAATTTCATTTAATTATTTTTTCAGTCTACTCTTCACACTACTTTGCATTTTACTCTGAAATTGTACAGAAACTGGGATGCCTTACCAACAACAGATGCACAGTATCTTACATGGCCAATTCTACAGATCTTATTTAGGTTAGAAATGAGATTACTCAGAGGATGAGTAGGCAACTCCTAATGCCTTCAGATGGAAGCCAGACTGCTTTCTGGGGAATGCTTTTCCCAAAGTTGCTGTGTTCAGTCAGACTGGCATGTGTGAGAGATCCGACTACGTGAAGGAGCAATCCATTGGATCAACCATCAGCAAACTGCATCCTATCTTCTATCAGAGGTGAGGTTTTCAAAATAAAGACACAGAGAAGGTAAAGTTAAAAGTCAGATTTTTCACTAGCTGGGCTGAGGTGAGAAAGATGATACTTCAGTTCTAACACCTCCACCTCTTTTTTTCTTTCAGTCCTTCCCATCTTCCTTGAACAGTCTTTTATAGATGATACTCACAATTATAGACACTACCACCTTCATGAGAAAGAAGATTTGGCTCCCAGCTCCTGACTCCTTCCCCATTCCTCTAAATTCTTTCTAGCAGAAGGAGCAGAAAGTAAATTCCTCCCCTTCCTCCATCAAGCACAGTGATTTAGCAATCAAGAATACTTAAAAGAAAAAAGGAAAAAGCAAGAAACTCAGACCATTACCACTAACATCTCTTCCTACTCTGTAAATGTTCCATTTCCCTCTCTATTTTATTTTAACAAGTCCAGGGTTGCACAGGGAAGCCAAATCACTTTACAGCTGTGACTACACAGAAGAGGAGTCACTTGAACCTCTTTTGAAGAGAGCCACGTTCACCTGTGCTCCCAGAGGCAGTTCTTGAGCTGCAGCCACCCACCAGCTCTCACACCTGACCAGGCCAGGGATGTCATCAGCACCTTCCCCCACTGACCCCACTCTGCTTCTCCTGGGCCAGCAACCCCAGTTTCACTGCTGTGGACCATAGGGCATCACTGCAGAGGTTGGCACTGTGGCATGCAGCCATCAAATACAGAAACAGATGGGCATCATGCTACTAATTACTAATTAATTCCCTTAAGAACTGACGGTGAGTAATCGATCTTCATGGTTCTCCCAGAAAGACAAAAATGCACAAAAAGTGTAGGAAATACCAGCCCTTCTTTTTCGTCTTCATTCTTAAAGAAGAATTTCATTCTTTTGATACCCTCAAATTCTTTTCACTTAACTCTTTCAGCTTTTTCAGTAAGGTGCAATGAATGAAATAAGACTGGTAGAACAAGGCCTAGAAGAAGGCAGCCTTAGCCTCCATTACCCTTTTTTACCAGTGCATCAATTTGAGACTTTTAAATTTATACAGGGACCATCTCATGTGTGAGCAACTACAGAGATATTCACAAGAGGAGCTACAGCCCTTGGTCATCAGACTCCTCCCCCTGCTGAGGAGTACGGGCTGCCCCACAGACAAATACATTGCTCTTATTCCCTGATTTGTCCTCTTCTCAGGCTGCAGCACTCTCCCACCCTCTTGTAGATGTGCCCCACATTTCCAGCATCTGGGGTGTAAATGAGGTGTTGCAGTGCTCCATCTCTGGCTTGCAGAGTTATGAACATTTAGGAGGTACTTACAGAAGTCACCTGCAGCTTCCAAGTAGCTGAAGACCATCATCACACATGAGAAATGAAGCCCAGTCCTCAGCTGAATTTCTAAAAATTTAAGAAAGGACAATAGGGGACAAAATCAATATAGCAGAAGTCACAGCACTGGATGCATAGCTGTATCCAGAGCTATGCCCAGCTAACAATAGCAACCCTTCTTTCTATTGCACCAGTCACAAACACATTAAAAATTGTTTGAATGTGTACAATGGTTTACGAAACTCATTTACCTGTTTTAGAAACTTCTTAGCATGGCCTCCCCTCTGATCTGCCTTTTTAGAGCCTGTTTAGCAACCTTGGTTGTGGTTTTGAGGGTTTTGTGTCACCTCCTCACAAGAGCCCCCATTCCATGGTTTCAGCAGGTGACAGGTGTTGACAGTCCAAGTCTCAGTATCAGGGCTCCTCATCGCACCCATTCCTCAGATGTTACCTGACCACACAGACATTTTAGTTACTTCAGTTATTGCAAGTTAGCCTCAAGTACTCTAAATCAACCTAAATTCACCTAGAAGTACAGACATACTTCATATGACTGATATATTTTAATTATTGCCAGTTAGCTACAAAAACAAAAGCATCAGTTATTATTTCACAATTATAGCTATTTCTGCAAAAGTTAACATTATATTATGATGCACAACACAGAGCATCCACTTTAATATTTGCAAAAGCCAAAGCTATAACATGTGTTTATCATGTCACAAGTCCTTAGTCAGGAGCAGAGCTCTAGGTTTTACTGACTGCAACAAATAAAAAAGATATTTGTGTAATCCCTAAGGACAAAGAGCTGTAAGAGCACTAACCAAGCACAACCCCAATTTACAAAGACACCATTTGCATTTCAGCTAGGAGTGCAGGTAGTTAAAAAGGGCCTGCAGCTGCAACCTTTTATTCTAATTACCCACTGGGAGGGGAGAAGCAGCATTAACTCTTCAGTGGCTGTCTCAGGGAGAGTAGGGAAAGGTGTGATGCTCAGAGAACTTGTTTCTGAGAACTTTTTACCATTACATTTTGAAAAGCTCACAGAGTATTATTCAATCTGCACTCTCCTTGCAGCAATGATTTTTCTCCTCCACACGCAGCAGAATCAGGATGAAAGAGTCCTGCCATACATTTTGATCTTTATGTATGCAAAAAACCACATCTTAACAAAAAAATCTTTGTTTCTGCATCCCCTACACTCAACTCACAAAAAATTAATTTGCTTTCCGATGGCAAGCCTTGTGAAGTGCATGCATAGCTGCTTTTAAATCTCTCTCTTTAAATCAGATATAATTTTTTTAAGCTTTTTTCCACTGGCTCCAGTGGGCACTGCATGCCAGGGAAGTAAAACATAGCCATGGTTTGTACTAGAGTTTATATGGTCTTTCCATTTTCCTCTGTCCAGCATGCAACAGCCTTTAGGACCGTGCTTCAGTCTCTCATGTAGCAAATTTGAAAGTTATTCTGCTTTTTGTAATCATGGAATAAGTCATGGGCACTTGAAGTTCAATAAATCCCCAGAGGCAGCCAGCTTGGTTTATTTTCAGCTCCGATGACCCACAGAAGGAAATTTTTTTGTGACATGGGAATTGGATTTTTTTCCCCTTATTATATATAAACAATTCTCTTAACATGAGAGGGGAAAAGTTCATATTAAAAGGCAATGTTTATTAAAATATCAGCTTCTTCCTGCTGCAGGAGGATTATTAGCATCACTGACTTCCTTCTCTGTTCCAACAACCTATTGCCAGATTTCTCAGGGAAGGACTTGTATGGTTGCTGCTCCTTGGCAGCGAGTGTCTGGGAAGTTTATCCTTTGTGCAAGAACAGAGCTGCAAAGAGGAAAAAGAGAGGTGCTGAGTTTCCTGATGAGGTGGGTGACAGAAGCACAACCTTTTCCACACAGGGTCACTGAGGTCTTCAGTAGAAGCCTGAGATTAATTACTTCCTTCCTAAGAATCAGTCTGGTACAGCCTGGACAAATATCTTTCCAGAAAGAAAGGCAAATTTACTGCTGCACTTCATACACCGTGCTGCTGTGTACAAACACACAGAGGCACAGCACTGTTAAAGGGGGAAAGTGAGGATGATGTGATGGTCATATACAGTGACACCTAGCAATGAAGTGACCCAGAAATGACACACTCAAATGGTGCAGAATGAGTATAAATTGGCTCATATTATGTCTTAAGTATCACAAATGGCTCCATATAATGTATCGCTGGACTAAGTATTCAGTTTATTTAAGTCTTAATGCACTACTTTTTTTCTTTACTTATTTCTTGAATTCATAACACCCAAAACAAATCTGGATTTTCAGTGCAGAGATTTAGAATTCAGGCTACAGAAGCCAATTTATCACTTAAGATGTAAAAATAGTTCTGTCTAAAAAGGGAGACTTCCTTATTTAAGAAGGAGAATCTGAAAAAGAATACCTAATTAAAGTGTTTTCTTTGGGTTTTTTTGAGAGAAAAATGTATGAGAGATGACATGTATTTAAATCTTTAAAAACCTAATCTCTTCCATGAGTTTCATTTGATTTCTGTAGTATGAAAACATATCCTCCTCCTGTTTCTCCCAGTTTGTTCTAGGGCAGACACTTAAATAAAAATGCCTGTTTATAAAACTATCTCTCTATTTACTGTACCTATTTTTTAATCTGTGTTTCTTTACAATGTTTGATGAAAAACTACTGAGTGTTTTTCTGTGAGAAAATTGTTCAGTCAAAGTTCTGGTTTTAGTTGCTGAATATTAGCAGCCCTTCTGTGCACTCTGGCCATTAAGGATGGCTGCCTGATTTTTAACTCCCATTCTGCTTCCACCCATTATCGTTCTGGTTGCCATGCAAGTGTGATTTTAAACCTCTTGGTGTGACAAAAACAAAGACAATAAAAGATCTGGTGACTGTCTAAGAGTCATTTAAGGATATACAGGTACTTTGAACAATCCCAGACTTCCTTTCTAGGAATGTCTGCTTTCCTTGGACACTTCCTTGCATGACCAGTTTGTGAATACAAGGTCCCACGTACAGACCCACATTCCCTCCAGCATTCATCAGATGACTGCCATTTTCTGGGGATTTTAGTTTGAGGGGGATTTAGTTTTGTTTTGTTTGCTTTTTTTAATAAAATTCCTTGACTACTACTAACATGTAATTTTGTTTCCCTGTTCCTTAGTCATTTAGGAGAAGTGTCAAAACCCCTTCTGTATAGAATGCAGTTTACAGGGATATTTTTTCTTCCCCCGAATGTTTATAAAACACATAGCATGAAGCTTTTTTGGTCTGATACTTTAAATTGTGTGAATTGTGGAAAAATGGTGAGGTTATGAAGGAAATTGTGATTTATGCTACTACAACTTAGGCTTCAGACCCACCTGTGCCCTTCTGTGAAAAGCAGAAAACACCTAACATGGTATGGTCAAAGTTTTCTCAAGGCAGAACTGTTTTGTTTTCTGAAAACCAACAGAGTAACTGCTCTAAATGGCCAGAGAGACCTCCACCAGCCCTGATTTGCACCTTTCAGAGTGCTGCATACACAAGCCTCAGGTGATTTACAGTGAGTAAAGAAGCTACATACATAAGGAAGGAAAAGAAGGGTGTGTTTGAGAGCACGCAGCTGCTTTGTGCTCCTTTCCACTGCACCGTATACCCAGCAGTGCCAAACACAACAGCAGCATTTAAAGTCTTGGCACACAAACCTGCAAAGTCTTGCTAAGAGCAGTCGGGCCATTAGTGGCCGTTCAGTCAGAGAGAGCGCGGCTGTCTCAGAGCTATTAGGTAGAGGGGAGAGGTTGGTACTGAGAAAATGTTGTACTGGAGGATCACACTGAGCAATTGCTTGGCTCAGCTGTGTGAGAACAGAGCCCTCACTGCAGGGCTGATGGACGGGTGGAAGCCAAAAGGGAAATCAGCACTTCATAAAAGTTAATGACCAAAGACATGCTTCTTATGAGTCCTGACCATAGCAGGATTCAAGTGGAAAGCACTGGACTATTTCCTCTTCCATTGCTCCCTCTTGTTTTGGACCAATATCCCTCTCTCTTTTTGTTATTATTACTGTTAGTTTTTAATATATGCCTTTGTGAGAAAGCCCTGAATAAAGACACCTTCAATTATCTTCTTCCGTGTCCTTTCTGAGATCCAACTCAGCTGGGCCATCCCTTTTCTTCTCTGCTTTCCCAAAGGTAATATCTCAAGTGAGATTAAACGTCCTCTTCCAGACAGTCCATTTTTGCTGAGTGTGTTCATGCATGAAGGCAAACATTGGCAGATCTTAAATCATCACAGAGAGGGGCACTGGTGTTCTCAGTTCCAGGCATGAAGTATGTATGGATACCTATGCTGGCCAAGACTGTGACTCAATAAATATCAGTCTAACAATAAGAAATATAAATAAAACATCTGGATTTCTTTCCAAAAAAAACCAACCTTCTCCTAACCATTTAATTTTCTTTCCTTTTCACCTCAGCATTTATCACTCTATTTTACCTAGCATGTTTTAATGCTTGCCTATTCTATAACCAGCTCTGCAAATATTATTCATAGTATAAATATTTTTAGTAAAATTCGTACCAATGGGCAAGGCATGGAAAATGAGTTACAGTGTTTTTTTAATCCAACACTGTGTCAAAAACAGGGATTGTTCATTAGGGAGGAGGCCTAATGCTGATGAAAGCCTGCCCTGCCAGAAGGGCCCACACCAGCTCCAGCACAATGGTTATGTCTACACAACACCACCCTGAACTCATTAAGTCTTCTTGCAGATTTGAAAAATTAGAGTTTTAGTCCAAACTCTGTTATTCACTCTGTGGCCACAGGATTAATACTTCTTCTTTGTTTTCTGTTTTTCCAGTTGTAAACGACTCATAAAGATTCTACTCATTTTTAAGGCATTTTGAGCCATATGGGGTGGGGTGAGGGGATTCATAGTCATTCATTCTCAATTTTGATGACTATGGTGAGTGGCATAAAGCAGAAAGAAACCCAAAGAAAAAGTCATTCCTAAGTTTGGTGCCATAAAGAAAGCTCTGGGATACATGAGCAAGAGATGAATCTAAAACCAAAATAATTCCAATAGAGCTTGTAAGATGCAGAATAAATATGAATACACTTTCAGTATTCTGCCTTATCAAAACTGCATTTATGATGGAATAAAAAATTATTGCATTGCTAAAGGAACAGTCATAACTGTGAAGAAAAATGTTGAATTATTATGGCAGACTACACAGCAACAGAGCATTTATGGCTCCACTCAGGGCAGATTGCTCAGTCAGGGTTTTTCTCACATATATTACCATATAAACCTCCTGTGCCACTTGCATTTTTGTAGAGTTCACGTGATGAAAGAGTAAGAGAGAGATAACTTTACTTATTGCTGTGGAAACCTGTTTATCATCCCTGTCTAGAATTACTGTCTTTTTACTCAAATTGGAAAAGTGTTCATTAACTCCCTGACATCTTCCCTTCACCCCAAACTTTCCTTCTTTATACACACACGCACACCATTTCTATTGGAAGATGTTATTTTCCAAATTGTGCAACAAAGGTTGCTACTATCTATTTGCCACCAAGTGTAGCACTGACTTATCAGGTCAAAATAACTTCAAACAGCACAGAACTGTTCCAAAATTCAAACACATGAATAGTAACCTCTTTGTCTGACTATTTCTGGGATAATGAATAAGCTCTGTGGACTGCAAGTTAAATATTTCATGACAGTTATATGATTAACTCATGAGGTTTTTGAGATTTTATGGGCAGTATGATCAGGTCTTTCTCTGTCCTTGTCAAGGAGATGGTCCCCATCTAAAATTTCCTTTGCTACAGATTAAGCAGCAGGAGAAGAATTCCAATTCTTGACTGGGA